CTGGGGAACTCGGTCGGGTACCCAAAGGGAGGTTTGAAATATTAGAAAGCTTCTACTCTTCCCACAACCAGAAGTCATAGATACCAAAGAAATGAAAGTGAATTAAAGCAAGGTGAAGGTCTGTAGAGTGGTAAGTCGCATCATTCATCAGTATTCCAGCGGCCTCCCCGAGTAGGACAGCAGGGGGGACTGGCAGTGACAGTCAATCTACAGAAAACAGGGGATCCTGGGGAAGAGGGTGACAGTGTGTCATGCAAATGGGCACAGGCATAGGGGCCAAGCAGACAAATGAGGAGAGGTGGAACACGGCAAAAGCCCAGTGCACATAGCTGGAAAGAGCTGTATCAGGAACCACATACAGATTCCAAGAACAAGACAAGTGGAGGTAGACAGAGAGGGTTATAGCTGAGACGACATGATACACCATGCAGGACTCCAGGCACACAGCAGCCAGGGTTCAAACTCCTGACGCACCAGCTTCGGGGGTGGCCCCCTGGTGGCTTGGTCTACCCTTCGGAGAAGAGACTTGGGGTAGGGATCCACGCAGGCCCCGGAGATGACCCAAGGCCCCTGGGGCAGGGAATTCCAGAATCCCAGGTTACCAGGGTGAGGACTGAGGGGGTAGAGTAAGAACTCCACATGCAAAAATCGCCTTGGGCCTGCTGACTATCTTCCCATGGACAGACGTGTGGCTAGAGGTGAGCCAGAGAAGGGTCCCCGAAGACACAAGTCCAAAGCAAGGCCCTCTTATTCGGGTTTAAGTTAGCCCTGTGCTGGGCGAAGGCAGTGGTCCTTGAAAGAGAAAGGGGCACAGCAGAAGAAAAATGAAGATATGCATCAATTTAAAACTTGAGTGGCTGAGGTCTACCATTCTACGTCTAGACATTTGGATGACCTGAACCTCATGGTGCCTCAGTTTCCCCTTCTACAAAATGAAGTGAGTAGAAGTCAAATTTGGTAGTCTGTGCTAACGTGGAATCCAGGCCTAAGCTCCCATGCATGGCTCCACACATCGGGGCGGGAGGAGAGGGCCTGTGGCTCATAGCCTGACAGAGGCAAGGGGCAAAATATGAAACCAGAGGGCCAACAGAACTACCAACACCTGAAATTGCTGGGCTGAGCGGTGTGTGTCACCTGCACAGGATTCCTCTGGAATGGGACAAGGGTAGGGCCGTCCAGAGGACCTGCAGCTTAGAGGGGTGAGGGATGAGCATGGGAAAGCCAGCATGATCGTCCAGCAGCCACACACACACACACACACACACACACACACACACACGGGCCTCACCCGGACCTTGTAAGTGAAAATGTATTTCCTGATTGATCGCAGGAAGACAGGCCCCCTGGGAAGCTGTCTCTCTCTCATCTCACACATCTCCTGATGGCACGCAATTAGTGGCTCGCCTCAGCAGAGCAAGTGTGAAGGTACTTTCGCACGGCTTGGCTCTGCTCCAAGAGACTCCGGGTAAGGCTGCAGAAGTGTTAAGAGCATTTCTTCATTTTCTCTCCCATCCTCACCCCCTTCCAGCTTCCTGAGCTCAGATAAAAGGGTCTTTACACCTAGAAACCAACAATGCGCTCTACTAGGTGGCCATTGCTAAGTCCAGCATTAATCAAAAGATTCAGGATTGATTCTGAATTGGAGTGCTCACTTTTATCCAGAGAGATGGAAAAGTCCCTCTTGGGATGTAACACAGAAGTAGGAAAATGAAAAAATCATCTTCCTTTAATGTGGTCAACAAGGAAATAGCCACTCACTTTCCCCACCATGCCAGGTCCCATGACATCATGGCACCCGCGATCTCCTAGCCCACACCAGAGATGTAGGATCCGGTTCATGCCCAGCTCTTCTATGTCTATCCAGCTACCTCCAAAGGATGATAATCCAAGAAACACAGCCAGGAACACAAACACAGGTGTGTGTTCATTAGGCCCAGCCCTGTACTTAGTTCAAACACCATGTCACCGACGCAATGTTGTGTGAGCAAAGGGACCAAAAGTCTCCCTTGCCACATGCCCAAACCACCACTTCCTCGTGACAGATGGATGGCAGGAGACTGTCAAGGTTACATCAGAGTCACTGTGGTTGGTGCCGTGTCCTCAGAGCAAGGCGAGGCCCTTGAGGAGGGGAAGATGCCAAAGGGATGCAGACCCACTTTCCTTGTCTCAAGAAGAACAGCCCTGCTTTCATTTCTTGACTTCTCAGGCTAACACATTAAAAATTACTTAGAAATTATAACCCCAGGAGTCCTCTGATAAGATTATCTATGGAAAGACTACAGGTCAGTCAAATGTCAGCCACAAAAGAAGGGTTGTCTGCCCGCAAGGTGAGTTTTGAAGGCAGAGAACACATACAGGGCCGCCAAGAGACAGAGCAGGCCTGGGGCACGTTGTTTCTTCAGTGGGGATTCCAATAGGCTAAATGCTGGGAAGAATTTCCACACAGTCCATGAAGAAGAAAAGACGAAACTCATCATTGACTCCCAGGGAAGAACATGAGATAGGCTGACCCCACGCTCAAATACACCATATGTTCCCATAACTCCTGTTCTAGAATAACTAATATTATTGAAATCGCCATGGCCATTATTTAAAAAGATAAAAGTAATTGGCAAAACACAGATTGTGTTACACAGAATCAGATGTACCTTATGTCAGTGTTCCTCACACGATAGCTCTTTATCAGCTTCTGACAGAAATAAGGACTCTGAGGAAATACACTGATACGAAAATATGTCCACTGCATTCTGTTAAATGGAAAAAGCTCTTAATGAAAGAGGATGTGTATATGTATAAATATGTATGTATAAAATATTACAAAATATAAATATCTCTGGGTGAAAAGATTGCAATTTTTTCTTTTTTAACTATAGTTTCTGATTTTTTTCTGTGATGAGGAATATATTACATGTGTAAGTTTTTTTTTTTTTTTTTTTGAGACAGAGAGAGAGAGAGAGAGAGAGAGCGAGCACAAGTGAGGGGGTGGCGCAGAGGGAGAAGCAGAGTCCCTGCTGAGCAGGGAGCCCTACGCAGCGTTTGATCCCAGAACCTGGGGAGCATGACCCGAGCCTAAAGGCAGACATTCAACCCAATAAGCCACCCAGGCACCCGGGTTGTTTTTTTAAGTTTAAAAAATATGGGGGCGTCTGGGTAGCTCAGTCGTTTAAGCCTCTGCCTTTGGCTCAGGTGGTGATCTCAGGGTCCTGGGATCCAGCCCCACGTATGGCTCCCTTCTCAGCGAGGAATCAGCTTCTCCCACTCCCTCCCTCCCTGCTCGTGCACGCTCGCTCTCTCTCAAATAAATAAATACAATCTTTTTTAAAAAATATGATACAGCACGGTCAGCGGGGAGAGGGGAGGAGAGGCCTTTCGCAGGAGAAGCCGGGCAACGGAGTACTTCTAATCACAAGCACCCCGTTCCCCAAAGCTGAGCCCGTACTGCACCTTTGCTGCCCCCGTGTGGCTGCGAGAAGACCTGGCACCTGGAGCCCTTCGGCAAGGACAAACCCGGATCCATTATCTTGGATACATTCTTTCTCTTTCACCACTTCATAATGTGGATTTGTCCCACTCGTGAACATGGAGCACTGTAAGTGCTAGGACGGGCGTTCAGGACGCTAACAAGTGGACACAGACTCTGGTAGGGGTTCAGGACCCAGAGATCTACTACGGCAGGAGTGAAGTTGGAGGTAAGAAGGGGCAAAGCCTCAGGAGACTACTTGACCACAGGGAACCATGAAAACAGAACCCTAAAGCAGTACTGGAAACCATCTCCTTTGCTGAGAGCACCTGGAGCAGGGGGTGTTTATTTACTTCTGCCATCGTCTGCGGAGCACCTGAGGTGACTGTCCTTGACCTGCTGTTTGAGCACATACATTCCCAGAAACACAGAGGGAAGTCCAGCGGGTTACAATGTCCGATGTTCCCACTGATGGCAGTTTAAACTTAGGAGTAGAAAAGCCTGCTGCCTAAGCATCACACCATCAAGACGGGAGCCAAATTGAGTGTTATCAAATGACAGGCAAATAGATTTAACCTGATCCCTTAATGATTGCAAAATCATTATTAGACATTAATGCTAAGCCTTGAAATGATGAAGTAATATTCTTCTTACCTAAAAGGCTATTTTTCTCGGCTTGCATTGTCAGATCTGTAACAACTAAGGGCAACAGGATCCCCTGACGAATATTTTAATTTTTAAAGTGTAGTAGGCACTGCGTACACATACACACATTCTAGATTAAACTCCCCAACTCTTAACCCTATACCTTAACCCCTTTTTCTTAATCCTATACCTCAACCCCTTTCTCTTGCGTATGACCCAGGATAACACTCAATACACTTCTCCTACATTTAGGCTCCAGAGCCAGATTGCCTGCATTCAAATGCAGCTCTATCATTTACTGTGTGACTTTGGGCATATCACCTAACCGTCTGAGTCTCAGTGATCTCCTCTATATAATGGGGATATGAATAGGACCACCTCATAGGGCTGCTGGAAGGTTAAGGAGTTGACATCTGTGATGTGCTAAAAACAACACCTGACAAGAAAGGGCTAGAAGAGCCCATTAACTCACTCTGTCCTACAGATATTTTTTAAAATGGGTTTGAAATGTCATTAATTTTTATAAACTGTAACTTAAAAAACAAACCTGGTGTCCTCTTTTCCTTTCAGGAATAAACACCATCTGTTACTAAGATTGAGTGATGATGAAAAGGCCAGTCCCTCCAGTCCACTTCTAAAGCTGAATGTCTTTTTCGGAAGAAACCAACTTACCATCTTTATTCTCCTCCAAGCTTCCTGCCATGTACTTTAGGAAAAGTAAAGAGAGTGTGTGTGTGTGTGTGTGTGTGTGTGAGTGTGTGTGCAAGTGTACATGTGTGGAATATGGCCATCCTGAGTGCCTTCACACCTTCTTCCTATTCTGGTCCTGGATCTGGCCCCCCCCCCCACTTTCCATTAGGCACTTTCAACAGCTCTTCACTCCAGCGACACTCACCTATTGGTGTTCTCCAGAACCTCTACCTTCTTCCGAAGCTCCAAGTTCTCAGTTGAACAAGACTCCACCCTTAGAGGAGCAAGAGAGAAGACAATTAGTTGTATCAGTTGAGCAAATGCAGGTGGGGTTTGGAGAAGGAGGACCAGGCATCAGCTACTCTAGGGAAGTGAGGGAGAGAGCCTAGCCAACCTCAGTTGGGAAGAAAGGTAAGAAGACAAAAGAAAAAGAGAGAGAGAGATGAGTAACACGTGCCTCAGAACAAGAACATGAATAAGGATGGTACAAACTGTAAAGTCCTAAAGTGTTCCAACCTCGATTTCTTTCATGTCATCCCTATTGCTCTCAATGTCCATCATTCATCTCCCTCATCTACAGGAGCCTGGATGCTGCTGGCTGTAGTCTTGGCCAGAAGGGCTGATAGGGAGCCAAAGGGCTCAGGATAGACAAGAGGGGAGGACAAATATGCAGTGCCTCAAGACAAGGAATCCAGCTGCAGGAACATGCCTCCCAAAGGCACTAAAGACCATCTTGACCCTGAAGCCTACAGAAAATAATGGAACAGCATGGAACTACTTCATGCTCAATTACCAACACCTAACCTAGGAATGTAGAGACACTAACTTTCAGTAGGAAGGTCAAGAACCGGCCAGGATCTGCTCTTCTCCCCAGACACACAGGAAGATTCACTTCCGGGTCAGGGGCCTCATTTCCATCTTAGACGATATTTGTTGGTCAAGTGGAGAACTGTATTTCTAAGGCTAATACAAAATTGCATCTCATTCATGTTTTTCTACAGCCCTCCTGATATTCTGGACTACTCAGAAGAACAAAGGGTATCTTCGAGTGTTTTTGTGGGTAGTAGCTAGTTGGAAGCATGAATTACAGTGGACGGAAAGTAAAGAACACCGGCCGCACTCGCTGCACTGCCCACGTGCCTTCTCTAGGGCGTGAGGGATGAATTAGCACTGCTCCTTTCAGCGGAAACAGTGCCTCTCCTCTGAGGAGAGTTCCGGGAACGGGAATGAGTGTTAATATTTGCACTTGTTTGAAAGGAAGCCTTCGAGGACTTACTCTGGTTAGAAATGCTGTGGTACCAACCCCTGCTAAGATTGAGTGCATTTTTTAACTTAAGGCCGTGCTTGTAAAGCCTCCCCCTCTCACATCCACTAGGTGGCAGGCAAGACCTAGGGGATGGACCAACGGGCTTTGATGGCGGCCAGAATGAACTTTAACCACTTTCCCTGAAAACAGAAGCTTGGCACGCTCCCATTTTCCCTCGCAGATCACCCAGTAACACAACCAGTTTCGGCAGGAGGCTTACTTTTTCTCCAAGCTGTCCATGTATTCTTTCTTCTTCCTCCTACTTTCCTGGGCAGAAATCTGACACAGAAGGGGAGAAGAAAAGATTAACTTCCTGCCGGCTCCGGAAGTCAGTTGTGTGTAAATGGAAGAGAGGAGTCTGTTCGCACAGAAACCCCCAGAGTCCTGCTCATTTCTGTGGCCGTTCTTCATTGAGATAACCTGCTGGCTCATCTGTGAGTCCTCTCTTCTGACCTCCCTGGTTTCAGCCGGCCTATGCGGTCACTAGTTCCCACCAAAGTGGGCCCCTCGTGGGAAGCCTGGCAGGCCTGAGTCAGAACAGAACGTGTGGGTCACAAACCATCTGTGTCATCTTCAATAAATGATTTCAACTCCATGGGCCTCAGCTGGCTCAACTAGAACATGTACACCGAGACAGTTGGGCTTGGTCAGACATAACCCCCTTCCTGGTTCTGCACAGGGACAAAGAGTGGTAACTGAGGTCTCTTTTATCTTTCTTTCTCTGTCTCTTGCCTTCTGGCCTGTCTGTACCCTAGCCATGCCCCCTGACCTCACCAGTCCTGATTTGCCCTGTAGGGACCTAGGGCTAGGAGACTACTAAATCCAGGCATAGAACAGCAGATTACAGGATTTTTTTTTTTTTAATCAAAAACCTAGTAAAGAAAAGAATTAAACACCATTTATATTAATTTATTTATAAATTATATACATGCCCACGAGAAGGAAATGTTGTGTACATCATAAAACAGAAACTTAAAAGTCTGATGTAAAAAATATTAGTGGGAGTTCTAATGTTTTCCTCTTAGCCCCGAACGGATCCCCACGGGCACCAAGGAGTAGGCACACCCAATTTGGGATCCACTGACCCAGAGGATGGGTGGAGGGACTGGAGGAACACAGGGGTCAGTGGGGACTGCGTTCCTGCTCCCCACTGAGGGAAAGGGCAAGACTGAGCCTTGTCCCCCTTGTCGTCCCTCCACGAGATGGGCCGGTGTTGGCCACTGGGAAGAGGGGCAATGGGGGTACCCAGGCTTAATTCTTGTCATGGTCTCTGATCATAGAAGCACCTCGATTTAAAGGGCTTACCTTGTTCTTGATTTTCCTCCGAATCTTCTTCAAAGCCTTCTCCTCTGATTTTGTTAGAGGCAATTTGGTGGGGATGGGATAGCCCTCGGCGATCAGGGTCCTCTTCTCCTCTTCTGTCAGGACCAGTGGACCTGACCCTTGCAGTTTCTGTGCAGATTAAGGGGCAGAAAAAGGGTCAGAGCAGAACAACTGGGCAACACTCAAGAAACTTGCAAACTTCAGGGGCACTTGGGTGGCTCAGTGGGTTAATAAGTCTCTGCCTTTGGCTTAGGTCATGATCCCAGGGTCCTGGGATCGGGCCCCGCATCGGGCTCTCTGCTCAGCGGGGAGCCTGCTTCCCCTCTCTCTCTGCCTGCCTCTCTGCCTACTTGTGATCTCTCTCTCTCTCTCATGTCAAATAAATAAATAAAATCTTAAAAAAAAAAAAAAGAAACTTGCAAAATTCTGAGAGAAAAGGATGCTCATATGCTTCAAGTGAGAGATGAGTAGTCTGAAGTGGAAGCAGAGATAGAGAACACAACCAAGGATTATCACTCAAGAGAAAGGGTGAAGAAACCTCCACCCATCAATTTCTGGAAGGTACCCCAATGGGTAAAACATCAAAAGAAACATTATAGGATTCATTTCCCACATCTCGAGATTTCATAGCCTTGGAGTGATGGGGGATTCACTTGGAGCTCTTGGTGAAAGAGTGTCCTTGTTCTCCTGAAAACACAATTTTGCAAGATGCTCTCCACATACCAGGGGTCACTTCTTGTCCCCCACTAAGAGCTAAGGGGCCAGGGCTCACAGAAATACACCTGCAGGCACATCTCATGGAAGTCTCTGGCTTTGGACAGTCCCAGATTGTTCATCAGCAGTGAAGACAAGGACTATAGCTCATCTCATGTGGCCCATCATAGAATGATGAAGCTGAGCGCCAACAACGTCTGAGCCCCACATTCAGTGTCATGGAACAGTCCAAAGAAAAGGCATCTCTCAAGTCATAGCTTGTGATCAAGACTGAGACTGAATTAATACACATGGAAGGCTGAGGGAAGTAAATGCTATGCTGTAATACAACTCAAGGTGCATTCAGAATCTGGGGAGAGAGACACATGAGTGTGTGTGATAAGGAAAGGCATAAGGGTAGGTGGGAAGACTGACATTGGGTTAAAAGGAAGGGGATGATTTACATAGAGGAGGGCATTCCAAGCAAAAGGCAGTATTCCAAAAAAGCAATTGAAGATGCTATCCTGTCTAGAATGGATAGGAAGTTTTTGAAACAGCAAAGGGTCAAGGTGCCCAGTATAAAGTAGAAGTACTGGGATTTGATACCAAGAGCTAATTGAAAAGCACAAACAAGACACTGTAGGGGTGTGACACCGGGAGGACTTCCTAACACAGCCCCAGATCCAGAACTCTGTGGGGCACACTGACTTTACATTGCCAAAATCATATTAACTGAGAGATGATTCTTACAAAATTTTTAAATATCTCATCTCATTCAAATGTTCTGTATGTGACATAAATTCAATAAGGTTGACAATAATTTTATCATTTTTCAGATTTCATAGAAATCAATGAATTCTTCAGGATAGTAAAATGTTAATTCTCTGTCTCCATTTTTATCTGGGACAAGGTGCCCTTATACACATTAGGGATGAATGATGACTTGTGCTTTCCAACACGAGTCTCTGGACTGGGAGTCATACCATAGGCAAGAAAGGGTTAAACTGTACTTTTGAGCGTTCAGCAACAAAACATTTCATCTCGGACAAAGTTTTAGGTTCATCAAAGACTGTTTATTTGAAAAACAACTTATTTCCTATCGTGGGCCACAGGATTACCGAAAGTGATAGTAAGTGTTCGGGACGTGATTTTGAGGAGGAAGGCAACACAACAGCGTGACCCCTTCTGCCTGGCTGCGTCCTATGAAGCAAACAAGCAGTAACGGGCATGTGCACAGGGTGGCCTTGAAGTGGCCTTGAAGGACACCCGCTCCCAGCGAAGCTCCGAGGGACCAAAGGGTAAGGGCTGCGGGCGAAATACTCACGTGAGGGGCCGTGAGGAGAGGGGAGCTGGACAGGGCCGAAGGGGCCCGCGCCACGGCTCTGGCGGGGCTGTGGGTCTGCGGCAGGCCGCCGAAGGGGTGCAGGCGGGGGTTGGGGCTTAGGCTGCCCTCCGAGTCGCTGCTGTGGCTACTGGGAGGGGTGGGGGGTAAGTGCAGGTGCTCCACGGAGGCTGAGGGAAAGAAAGCGGGTGTCATCCATCAGACAGCACCGAAACAGGACTCGGAGGCCGTCAATCAGCGGCACGTCCACACAGCCGAACGCGGGTCAGCTGAACAAAGGGATGGAGATTCTGCGTGTGCGGATAGGGAAAGATCTCCAGTGTATTTTGTTAGGGGGGAGGGGGGAACATCAAGGTGCAGAACGGTGTATCAAGGAGCCCTCCTTTTGTATGAAAGAGGAGAGCAGGTGAATACAGACTCTTATTTGCTCGTCTCTGCATAAAGAAACATAGGAAAAACATAAGAAATTAATAAAATTATGACCTCTTGGGGGCTGGGAGAAATTAGGGTAAACCGTGGCAGGGCGCATAACTTCTCACTGTATCCCCTTCTTATCATTTATATGGTTTGACTTGTGAACCACATGAATGGATCAGGTGCTTAAAAAAAAAAAATTAACAAAACCTGGAGCCTGAGAGCATTCCCAAAGGCTGCTTTGAGAAAAGCTCATTTGTTTCTGAAGGAATGTGCATGGCAGGGCCCCCAGGCAAGACGCCTGACATTCTTCCTTCAGAAAATCCTAAATCCATCTGTAGCTAGGTAGGTAGGCACTGGAAAAAGGGCATGTGTGTGTGCGTGCGCGCGCGCCTGCGCGCGCCCATGTGTGTGCTGGGCGGGGCCTTGCTGCTCCATAATACCTTCGCCTCCCCTCAGGGAGTCACAGACAGGCTGTCTGCTGGAACATGTGAGCCACAGTCGGTGTCATCAATCACACATCTCCAGGGCAGTGGGGGATGGGCTCCAGAAGGCAGAATCCACTCTGAGTTCAAACTTATGGACAAAAGAGCTCTCCTTTTTCTGGTCTCCTTTCTATTCCTGCTAAGCTGAAGTGCCTTGAGAGGCAGCCACTGTTTCTGAGCCAAGGGGCATAAACTTGGATAAGCCTTTCACCCCACACTGCTTCGGGGTCCCCAAGACAACCGAGCCCTTTAGTACCAAAGGTGCAGCTCGGCCGGAGGAGAGCTTGGGGTCACGGAAAGGCTTCAGCCTCCTCTTCTCTCCTGTAACCAGAGACCACCTGAGGTGGGAAGGGCCTTCTGAGACACAACTGACCCACCAGATCCCACCCAGAGCCAGTCATGTGCCTCCCAGCCATCCCTCCTGCCACCCTCCCTGCTATTCACAGTGCACAGCTCTTTCTCTGCATCTTCCTCTCTTTGTCTTTTTCTAACATAGTACCTTCACTAGATCCTTCGCCTTTTCTCTGACAAAGTCTTGCCAAAGAGCCCCCTGGGCTTTGTAGAGTCTGCGGGCACTTCGAAAGCTAAGGAATATTCTAAAATAATCCTAATGCCAACATCCCTGCCAACGGTTCCAGGGGCCTTAAATATGCTTCCCCCTCTCCCATCCCCGCCCAGAAGAGAGTCCAGAGAATGTCAACCAAGATGTCCAATGGCTTCCACAAAGAGGCCATTGGACCGAGGTGTCTTTCATGCCGTGGTCTATGTGAGCAAAGCAAGAGCGATGCCTGTAGACACATCAAGGTTACCAAATTGAAACCCAAGGACAACCAGTCACAGAGAACAACTAGGCTTTAAACAACAGCCACTCAAGGATCTCCTGACTTTGCTTCCACAAAGTATCAAAGTCTCTCCTGAGCGCCCAATGGTGGAAGGCTCCCAACACCTTCTGGTTTGGGGCTGCCAATTTGAATACACTTTTTCTCCAATAAACTCCTAAAAATTTTAATATGCCTCAGTTTACCTTTTAACAATGGTGGGAAAAACCACCACCACCACCACAACAACCAAACCCAAGAGCAAAACCTATCAGGGGCTCCTGCTGCCTGCCACACCGTGCTGTTACATTCAGGAGAACTAGCCAACTGCACCTAGAGCTTACTTGCCCCTCTCCCTTAGCACAGTCCAAATTATTCTAACACTTTTTTCTTTTCCAAGCAGAAGGCGCTCTACAAAAAAACAGAAATGGCGCATCAGGAAAAGTGAGAGAAACTCAAATTTCCTTGTTCCTGCTTATTAAGAGCTTATGACCTGGCTCTAGGTGCCTCGGTATCAGATTTCTAAATATCACTTGAAATACCAGTCTCAGATTACTTGAAAGGTCTGGGGACAGCAAGCTACTTTGCCTAGAAGCTCCACTGCTTCTAAGATATTGAATTTCCTCCTCTCTGTTTATCTAAGATAATGAGGAAGGACGGCCCGCCACTTACTTTACTTTCAAAATGTTTCTTCTCTAGTGATCCCTGAGTCTGAAGCCTGAACCATCACTGTTACAGTTAGGACACTTTCTGAAGCATATGGCAACATAAACTAAAAGAGCAAGATATATTGGATAGTCTTCATGAAAAAGAAAGGAATCACTTTAGAACAGTAAGTAAGCGGAAAGCACTAATGGATAACACTCCGTGGAAAGATATATTGTTTCTAAATGGATTCTAGTCGATACTGTTAATTTAAAAAATGTAATCGTTTCTTACTGATAACAAAGGCAAACACCAGCCCTGATTAAACTGTCACAGATAAAATCCCGAGTTCCTAACGCAATGAAGGACGTTATGCTCTCATGAGAACTGCTCATTTGTCACACCCACACATTTTCTATGACAAACGCATACATGACTTTCTTATTTGTTGACCACAGTAACGAACTGTCCTAACCTCGTCCAGAAGACATCAATAAAAAGATGACAGTAGGTCTGAAGGCACAAAATTTAAAGCACAGCGCCCACGCAGGGGTATCTCCATTTTTAAAAAGGCCAAAAAAGCCTCCTTAGACTTTATGACACTTGTTGGGGAGGGGGGGCGGTGGTCAGTGTTCAGGATTCCCCAGTATGGGCTTCATCTGAGAACAAGAGGGAGAAGTCAGAAAGAAACTGACGCAAAGAAAGAAAAAGTGAAAAGTATGACAGCTTAGAATACGACATTGGGATGCGTGAACTAATTTGTAACTAGGAAAGAGGCTCCTTGCAACTACTGTCCTCCAAAGTCAGCATTTAAGCACAGTGAATGATCAAATCATGGATTCACTTGACAAAGGGTTTAAACTGAGTTGTTTTAAACAGGCCAGGTGCCTTGGTGGCTATCCATCTATTGGCCTCCACTGCGCACGCCCTCAGAACAGAGAACAGGGCTTGATTCACACATTCACACCCAGAAAGTAACACTTGCTTTGTTCACCAGCACCCAAGTCACAGGTGATCATAAAAGTTTGGGAAAAAAAACGCCTCTGCTAGGAGTAAAAGTAAAATACAAGACTTAGCATAAAAGCCTTAAGCATATATATATATTTAGATAAAAGATTTAAGCATGTAATGCAGAGGGGAAATTAAAATTTAGCTTTCAACATCTGTACTTAGAACCAAGGTTTTCGAGAGCAGAGCTATTTCAGAGGGCAGGCAATGTCTGTGCTACACATTAACGCCAGCACTCTCTCCCACACCCCCTTTCTCCACACACCGACATCCGGGACCCCAAGGAAGCCAGAGAGAGCAGACGGACCTTCTTTTGGAGAGAAGTTGAGGAACTGATCCACTTCATGGGGCTCCAGCTTGATCTTAGGTATAATGGTCTGGCACGAGGAATCAACCTAGAGGAGGAATTTCAAACAGTTTTTAAAAACCAGGAACAAACCTAGAGGGACACCAGGGGAGCGACTTGTCATTCAACTATGTGTCTCCCTCTCTGGGCAGCCCCGCTTCTCCGGGCTGAGCGCAAGCAGGTTCTTTCTCTGACAGGCAGGAGGCTTCCTTCTTAGACTTTCTCTCACCGCCTAACCCGGCACTTCAGCCGACCGAGCCCTCGGGATTCCAAAGTTAAAAAACCAGGCCTCCTCTTTCTATTGTTTTTATCATAACATAAATACCATAAAATAGTCTGGCAACTTTGGAAAGGGCCACAGGCCTCCAATAGTTTGTCCTACAGCAGGAGCTGCCTGAACCAAGGGGCCTGTGATGTCCTCCAGGCTTCCTCGGGACTGACAACATCGAACCATGAACACGCGGTACAGAAAGAAGAAAAGGTCTCCGGCCTATGCGTGGAGCGAGGCCAAGACCCTGTCCTTGCTTAGTTACACACTAAAAAATCAACCGAATTGACATCTCATGGTTCGAGAAGACTGAGAGACGCTCTAGAAGCCCAGTGCAATGAACAGACCCAGGCCGCCCATGAGAAAGGAATTCTAGAGCGCAGCTGTAGTGGGGCTCTGTCCACAGTCTCCCACTTTTCCCAGAGGGGTGGTAGAGAGCGCTAAGAACAAGTGTGCACCAAAGCTTTCTACTGCTTCTGTGTGACCTCTTCCTAAAAAGGCATAGGTAGATAGGATGCCTTGCTCAGAGAAGTTCTGACTTAACATCAGTGGAGCGATTGTTTATAAACCTTTGGTTTTGAACTTTAGGAAACTCAGGACTGGTTTTCAACATCTGGAAGAAGATGTCCACATATGATTCTGGTCCACCACTGCACACTGGAAATGCCTGGAGAGAAGGTGGGGTAGGCATGTAGGCATGGAATCGAACAAGAAAGAAATGCCCAATTTAGTATGTTTTCCATGTGTAATACAATAAAAGTTGGCAGGTGGGAGATCCCCAAATTGGGTCGGAGCAACTCCACATTGCACAAAGAGAGGAAAACATAACACAGGAAATAACACTTCCCTCAGCGCCGGCATACAAGCCAAGGATTGCATCATCATTTAGCCCCTCTCTTTCCACTGGCCTAAAAATCAATCCCATGAGGAGTTTGGTTTTTTGTTTTTTCTTTTTTTTTAAACCATGGATATCGGTCTATTTATCTTAATTTTGTAACAGCAGTCATCGGAAAAATGAAATCAGACTTGCTACCAGTTTTCTGAACAATGCCTTCAAAGGAAGTGGCATAATCAATGCTGATCCCAAATCAACACAGCCTTGATATATATACATACACACATACGCAATTACCTACCCTGAAACATCTAGAACCCTTAGCTCCAAAAATGGTTAAATGCCTTATTGGAGAATGATGATCCATGTCTTTTGATCCAATGTGTGTGTAGGGAAGAAAAGTGAGCATACCCCAGTATTCATTTCCAGCGGGGGTTCCTCCTTCTCAAAAGGGGTGGAGATAGCTGTGATGGTCAGAGTGACAGAGGGAACAAGTCCTGGGGGTGGCTCCTCTGTAATCGGCTCTGTCTTGATGGTGGTTGATGGAAAGTCTGTAGACAGGTACCATTTCTCACTTTCCACTTCATCTGTGGGGAAAAGACAAGCACATGTATGAATCTGGTCGGGGGTATCAGACGTAAGTAAAACAAGTGACCACTGACCCTGCTCCTCAGAAAAGAGCTCCAACCATAGGTTACTGAGAGTAGAATAAGAGGAAATAAAGTGAGGATGTGAGAGAGGAGATAAATGGACAACGAAATGAATGGCAAAGTAAGAATCTATACTTGTATTCGTTTGAGTGTAAGTACACCTAAAGGAACCTCAAGGATCCACGTCAAAGAAACCTGCTTTCCTGGTCAGGGCAGGAAGGAGGCTGGGTGGACGGGAAACAGGACAGGAGGGAGAATCTCCATGTGTGATGTTGTATACTTTTTGGTTTTCAAATCGAGTGACTATGTTATCTATTTAAAAGTAAATAAGCACATTTTTAAAAGATTTATTTATTTGTTTATTCGAGAGAGAGCGTGGTGAGGGGAGGGACAAAGGGAGGAGAGAGACTCTCAAACAGATTCCCCGCTGAACACAGAGTCCGACATGGGGCTCGATCTCAGGACCCTGACACCAGGACCCAAGCTGAAATCATAAGTTGGATACTTAACCAACTGAGCCATGCAGGTGCCCCAATAAGTACATTTAAAATTAAGAAACAAATGGTGTGTAACCAGAGTCTCAGGAGAGAGGTCTGGGGACCATGGTGAGGTGGGCTCTGTTCTTTTCCCAGTGGACAGTTACTTGTTTCCTTTTTTTTTTTTTTTTCCTTCTCACCCCCTGTTGTTGTCCTCTGGTTTCCCTACAATCCCAGTTGTGCCTTAAGCCTGACCTAGACCTCCGGAACTTTACTTAGCCCTCTGTGAAACTTCAGAGTTTGTAACAAACTTCTGCCTTTACCGAAATGGACCAAATATCTAGAGAAAAGAGCCGGATCTTGACAAGCGTGGATCTTGGCTTGCTACTGGTTTTCATGATGATGACAGGCCTAGAGATCAGGACAAAGGAATAAGAACAGACAGAAGCACCTCTACAGTAAACATGCATTCTTCTAGGAGCTCACATTCACCTGTTTCTTACCAACTTACTTCTGAACCACTAGCCAAGCACAGCCCTGAAAAAGGAGGGAGATGGGCAGAAAAGACAAGACAAGGGGATTGCAAACAGGTGCAGAACAAGAAAAAACAAGTCAGAAATTCCCAAAGTCAGCATTCCTCACCTGAAACCATGTTTACTAAAATGAGGCTAAAATAAAGCAAAGATACATTCCTTGATTCATGAAAATGTTTAAACACACACACATAGTTAGTGAATGATTACTATACAGAAGAGCAAAGTTGTTCCCACTAGGAAATAATTCTACACTCAAGAATTGGACTCAGTGGGAATTCAAGCTTTCTTAAGGAAAGGTATGTGAAGATCGTTTAAGAACTGCTAGACATGGGGAAAGAGTGGGCACAGAAGCAAAAAAAACCAAAAAGTTCACAATTATTAAAATTACGCTTCCTAAGCAACTTCCTTGAAACTCAAGAAAACATTAGATTCACTGTACAAAGGAGAATGATGTGCCCCCCTAAATCGAGTTTGTATCTGACTTGATTAATTATCCCAGCCCTGTATTTCCTGAGGCAAAGTAAAGATGGGCAAGACTTCTGTGGGTAGAAGATGTTTTGCTTTTGGAACTGGTTCTAAAAAGCTGCTGAATGCTATTGTGATGGGAGAATTTCCATCACTCGCAGGGGGCTCACCACGTCCTGGCCGAGGGGGAGGGGGAAGGAAACAAAGGGCCTTTTGATGGCAGCCAGAGGAGAGAGACCACGTTGGACTTGACACAGAATTGTGATGGCCACATGGACTCCCTGAACAACTTAGAGAAGCAACTGGATGAAGAGCCAAAAGAAGATTCTAATGCCTCTTCCAAAATGAGCTTAAGAACTAGAAAATTCTGTCACCAGCAAGGAAGACACACTCAGGACAGACAGATCTGGGGAAGGGCTGGAGAGACAGAGGACACAGATTCCACTTTCTCTATTCGGCAATGACATATGGATGCCTTTTCCTTTGTGAAGTCAACACTTACAGCCTGTCCGCTCGAGCAGCATTTATCCCTGCCAGAGACTGGGAGGGAGACAGCAAGATGCAATACAGCCTCAGCGTATATTAAAATTAACAGTAAGGAGCCATCGCTGAGAAAAGGTCCCACCAGGAAATTGTGAGATAAGGCCAGATCCTCAGGCTGTGCACTTATGACTACTATAATGAAGCTGAATTCACAGGGGGGGGGAGAAAAGGCAAAAATAAAAACAAAAAGCAATACAGAACTGTAAGACAAAATAAAGACAGGTAATGCAATCAGTTCTTCCTGTGTAGCTAAGTCATCCTCAAACATGGGACAAGATAGTTGATATTCTTAATGCTCAATGTCCTGCGAGCCTATTTTAAAATAATTTTAAAATAGGCTCGCAGGACATTTATATATAT